TAAGAATAAAAAAAAAATTCAAAAAAAAAAAAAATGAAGGGAATTTTGTTGCATGCTATAGCATGATTGAATCCAAGGATATTATGCTTAGGGAAATAAGCCAGTCACAGAGAGACAAATACTATATGATTCCACTTATATGAGATACTTAGAGTCATCCAATTCACAGAGATGGAAGTAGACAGGTGTTGCCAGGGGCTGAAGGAGGGGTAATAAGGAGTTATTGCTGAATGAGAACAGAATTTCCATTCTGCAAGATGAAGAGTTCTGGATAATAATTGCACAACAACGTGAATATACTTAACACTACTGAACTGCACAGTTAAAAATGGTTAAGATGGGGAAGGAGAAGACAAGAATGGAAAGAAAAGAAAAAAGAAAAGAAAAGGAGAAAGAAAAAAAACATAGTTACAATATTCAAGGGAAAATTTCAAAAGGATATATATCCAGTGAGTTGATAGTGATTTGCATTAGGTCATAGTTTTATACGTAAATGTATCTACTTTGTGCTTACTTAAACTTTCTGATCTTTCCATAAGGACTGTGTATTGTACTTGTAATAAGATCTTTAAAAATTATCTTCAAAACAAGAGAAAAGCAGCAGGGAAGAGTAAAATCCAGAATGCGGGGAAAGCAGGCAGTCCTGTGCACAGAGGAATAGCATGGCCGTGGCTTCTGCAGGGGAGAAGGTGCCAACAAAAGAGGCTCTGCACACCACTCCAATTAGGTCCTTATGCTCAGACACTCAGCCTTTGTGAGCAAGGGGCTTAACAAGGAGCCTGAATGACCAGAAGCAGGGGATCCTCCTCCATTAAAGGACATGGATGGCAGGAGTAGAGAGTGAGAATTGTGATTCTCAGTGGAAGTATGCATTGCCTGCATGAACATCTGCATGGAGGATCTTGTATTGCACCTGTCTGAGCTCTAATTCTGGAAGTGGGACAAACAGGGGGAAGGAGATTTGTGGGTAGGAGCAAGTCTCATCTCTCGCTCACTATCAATTCAGATACAGAATTTGAACCTCTGAGCTTAAAAGAACCTTAAAAACTATTTAGCCCAAATGTCTCATTCTACAGAATAATTAAGGCCCATGCAGGTAATGGGACTTGGTTAGCATGCAGCTAGGTTTGTGGCAGACACTGGATTACCATCAGTTCCCTGAACATGCCTGCTTTGTCAGTCCTTCCGTCTCCCTATGCCTGCATGCACTGTTCATTCTTCTGTTCTTCAGTCACATTTGTTCAACTTTGAGGCTATACCAGGCTTGGAGGGAGGCACTTTTTTTTCCATCTTTTTGTCCCCTGCATTGCTTCATGTAGAGGATATTTGCAGGGATTGGGCAATATAATAGAATGATCAGATGCAAGTTTATGCTTTGCCACACTGTCACTTCTCTTCCCCATCACTGTGTTTGCATTATTGCTCATCCTTTACTCCACTCTGCAACAGTCACCCCATAAATAACCCAACCACCTCCCTGAGGAAAATTTCAGAGATGACAGCTATGTCACAATCTTCCATGTGAGTCCTGTCTCTTAATTAGGTTTTTATAGTCAAGGATTTGTTGTGTTTATGTGAGCTATTGTGCAGGGGGCATAGAGACAGTCTGGCTGCCTTAAGGTAGCCATTGTAAGATTTGTTAGAAGTACAGCTCAAAGCCAGACAGAGCTCTGTACAAATCCTGTGTCCACCACTTTCAGCCATGAGAGTTTAGGCAATTATTTAACCTCTCTATACCTGAGTTTCCTCTTCTATGAGGGCCATAATATTTACCATGGACAGCTCTTAGTAATAGGGGTTGAATAAATGTTAACTTTCTCCTTTAACTGTATACGATTCTTAAACTTTCATACCCGCTTTGCTTTTTCTCAAGGCCAACTCCTAAGGTCAAAGAACAAAGATAAATGAGAGGCAGAGTATTCTTAGGCAAAAAGAAGGAAGTAGTTTAGCTCGTGTTGAGCTGGTTTAGAGCAGAGGTTGGTAAACTGCAGCCCCTGGGCCAACTCTGTCTAGTCCTCTGATTTTGTAAATAAAGTCTTATTGGAATACAACCATGTTCATTTATTTACAGATTGTCTATGGCTGCTTTCTGTACAATGGCAAAGTGGAGGAGTTAGGACAGAGATTTTGTATGCCCCACAAAGCCAAAAATACTTATGATCTATGTTTTTACAGAAAAACTTTAGGTATATGTGATATTTTATCAGGAGGTGATTGACACATGTAATTTTCCTCTCCGGATGGTCAAGATGAAGCAGTAAACATTGGCAAGGATGCTGAAAGAAGGAGGACCTTATGTTCTAAAGCAATCTGAGGATTACCTTTTACCAAATTCCTTCCACCCTTCTTTAGACTAGATGCTGTTGTTGAGTTCTTACAAAACCAGAATGTGGTTGTCAAGTGGCAGGCGGTGGGGAGACTTAATTGGTTTTCCACTGGTAGATAATTTGTTAGATCCTAAACAAAGAAGAAAGACTAATGACTCTAAGAGACCAATAACTAAAAGTCACAGGATATCTGCGCGGTTAACCCTGTGATACCAGAATGACTCATCAGAGTCTATGGCTTTCCTCCTACTGATTTCATGGTTTCAATCCCCTTTGGTTCAATGTGTTCATCCTACAAGTGCTGCTAAGAATCTCCTAATGCATGTCAGAGTTAGCTGCAGAGGCTCTTGATTTGCTCTCAGTTGTGAGTGTGTTTTTTAGAGCTTTTGGCTTCTCTTGGCAGTTGAAGAAACTGTGAAAGTTTCTGCTTTACTCCACAGTCTCTGGGCTCAACCTCTGAGCTAACAACAACTCCAGGACAGAGTGTTTTACTCAGCCTCGGTGTTTCAAGTTTGGAAAGGAAGACAAGCGTTCTGGGTATTTCAAGCAGAAAGGGACTCAATACAAGGAATTAAAGGTTTAAACAATTATGGGATGGGTTATAGACATGTAAGTAGGGAAATCTGCAAGGGCTGGAATCCAGGAAGCTGCCACCCCTACAATCTAGGAAGCAGTGCTGAAGTGGATGGTTCTGAAGAGTGTGGGTGAAAGGAAGCCACTGGCAACATGCCACATCTACTGACACCTACTCCCTCACACCTGCAGCTGAGAATAAGGACCTCTCCTTCTCCTTGGCCTTCAAAACACCATACCAGCACCTCTTCTTGGAAGGATCCAACCCTGAACCCTGCTGGCAAAAGTCTAGGGAGTGTGGTCCTAGGCTGGCTTCACCCATGCAGGGAGAATGTAGAAGGAAGGAAGAGATAGTGTCTAGTTGATATGAAATGATTTAGCTTTGAGGAAACTTCAGGAAGACTTCCTAGAGAATGTGATGCCAAAGACTGGGTTTTGAAAGATCAAAGTTGGCCAAGCCCTACCTTGGTCACTGATTCATCAAAGGAGTTTCCCTTTCTAGATTGCAAGAGCTAAAGTTAGGGAAGTACCACCTTCCCAAGAAGTGCTCATCTTATGCAACCAAGTGAAGAGGTAGCTATAAATAGCCTGACTTTCTCATTATTTTGTGTTCAAATGGATAACTGCAAGAAACGTTTCCTTCCTGAAGAAACAGAGTTATAGTCACCAAATCAAACAGCAATACCTCTCCTCATTGGAAATACAAGTGGGGAAAGTTTTCTCTCTGAACATACTTCATAGGCAGTTTGGAATTGTTGTGCCAAGGGAAGAAAGATCTGCCAACTACAGTGGTTGTTAGGGCAATGTACAGAGTGAAACCCTAGCATCTCCACCGTGATTTGATCCTCCCGGTCCTTTGTAGCTCCTCCTCTCCTTTTCAGAGATACATCTGGAACTCTCCAGATAACCAGCCCACTGACAGCTCATATTTTTTTCTTTTCCTCAAAGTTTAGATTGATAGAAATCTTCCAGTGCTGGGAAGGTAAAGGTGCAGCATCGATTAAGCACCTGCTGTTTCTTTTAATATATTAGATGCTTTGTGCACCTATTGAATCTTTAAGGGACCTTTGAGATAAGTCTATTACCTTCATTTTCCAGATGAGGAAGCAAAGGTCAAGAAAGGTAAAGTAATATTTCCAAGGTCACATACCCACTGCTGTTCTCCAGAGGATAAGGCCAGACCCCCACTGTCCAACTATAAGTGAATCCTGAATTCAATGATGTTCTTGGGTCACACATAGGTTCATAACATCCTCATGTCTCTACAAAACCATGCAGAAGCTTGAGCCCATCCTTGGTGACTTCCCTTACTTCCCCCTTTTTCCAGGAAATAAGGGACAGCCAGAGCTCACAACTGCCAGTGGCAATAGCCAGTGGGGTTCCACTCCCACCCTAGCCTTCCTCTGTGTCATTTTCCCAAAGACATGAAAAAAAAAAAAAAAAGATAACTCCTTAGAACCTAGAACCCATGTAGATTTTCCAAAATTTCAGGTCAAATTCATCTTAAGGATTTTTTATTTGCTATTATCTTCTCTCCCTTTTACCATTTCTTTAGCAATCAAATAAAAAGAAAATCTGTAAACACATTACAAAAATAAAATGTATAGGTCCTTTGTAAGGCAAGGTGTTCAACACTCTATTTTTCTTCTCCATACTTCATCTCATGGATGTCCCTGTCTTTGTTAATAATTCTTTGACGTTTTGGGATCCAGATTATTTTTATGACACTATTATTTTAGAGAGTATAAAAACTGTTTCCTTAATGAACTTCAGGCTTTCATTCAGTTTTAAATCCATAGTGGTGATATTTGCTTACATCTTCTTTAATTGCTATCACCGCTCACTGCTTGTTCTTCTAAATGGTGACCATCTAGTTCTGAGCTCTTAATTGCTTTATGACTCAGTTTGCATACATGTCTTAAAGAAGCTTTTCAAGGAGGGTTTGAAGATAATACATTTTTTTATCTCCTTTGCGTATGCACTGATACGGTTCTATTCCCTGCATATGTGAGTACTAACCAGAATTCAGAGGTAACATTGCTGGGTCAGATCCTTTTCTTCTCCAAACTGTATAGATGCTACTAAATTATCTTCTGGTTTTTAATGTGCTGGGAAGAAGACAATGAAGTGTAGGTTAATTTTCATCTTCAGATACAACCCATTGTTTTGTGTCTGGATATGGTACTTGTGGAATTTGTGGATTAAATACAAATACCTATTTGTATTTTTCTTAGTAGGCTGATACTTTCAGGCTGGTACTTTCACCAGGCTACATAGATGTGAGGCTCTGATCCCTGAGTTTTCCTAAACTGGGGTCAGTTCTTTCTGTCTCCCATGAGCTTCCTTTCCCTTTAGCTAGGAACGCTCACCAGTGTCCCACAGCTCCATATTTTCTGCCCAATGTTTCAGAAACCTCCTTTATTGTCACTATCCTCCTTTTACCTCCTGGTCTCCTTTCTCTAATTTGGGAAGGGTCTCTCAAATCCGTCCTCCACACCAGTGATAGAGCTTCACGCGGCACTAATACTGCTCTTCCTATCTCTAACGGGGATTGAATTCCAGCCCCTGAGCACATCTTCTCCTTGCTTCATCCCATCACTGTTCCCCACCCAATTCTTCTGCCTTTTCTCCCTCTGGATCCTGCCTTCAGATGTTCTGCTTCTATTTCAGAGAGACCTTCACTGAAATTTGTGGGAGTGCCATATAGTTATCTGAGATGATCATCTAGATTCTGAGGTAAATTTTTCTGAGTTTCTCTGCCTTACTGATGTTATTTCTTTTTTTTTCCTTTTCTTTGCAACATTTTTTATGGGCCCTTTGTTGTGGATGATGATGATATTGTTCATTTTACTCATTCTTAGACAGGACAAGTTCAGTTTGTTGTAATTTTTAGAGTGGGAGAGAGAGATTTGCTCTGTGCACTGCCCTGGTGGTCAAATTCCCTTCTCCAATCCAAAATTTATATTCACAGATGCCAGTCTGCTCTCACTTAAATAGCCAGCTGTCACCTGGGACACCATGCAGTGAATATGGTTCCCCTACCCCAGCACTCAGCCCAGCTTCTTGTTCTTAGAAACAACGCATGATGGGAATAGCCCAGTCCCTGACAGGCAGAGCTAGCTCTGATCTTCATGCCTCAGCAGCCTTCTTCAGAGCTTTGTCACCGTTGCTTGCCTCCCTGAGGTCACTTCAGTTCAGCAATTTGCTGTGATTCCCAAAATCTGCCTGGATTGGGGAAAGTGGGACAAGTGGGAGAAGAGGAAGGCTGAGAAAAGAGAAATAATGCTATTCAAGGGAATAACTCCCGAGGAGGGGAAGGAAGTGACAGTTCCATTTCCAGTTGACACCAGGCTTGGGACTGAGTTTGAGTTTAGAGGTTGGGTGGGAGTAAGGAAACCTCCTACCCATTTAAGGGAATTTCTTCATGAATGAGAGCAAGAGTATGTCACATGCTAGACCCAAGGTAGGCGATCCTCAATCCAGATCCATCCACCCCATAATCACTGTGAATTGTTGCAGATTCTGTCACTAGGTTGTATTTCCAGTCTAAGCACTCTGTCTCACCTATAGTTTCAATGAGAAGAGCTGAATGGCTCAGCTTGGGGAACCAACAGCCAGCTGCCATTTTGAACCAGAAGTCGGTGGGCAGCTTACCTTGACCTCTTCCAATTTCCAAGCAGCTGTTACTGTAAAAGGCCAAAAAGAAAATATTCAATAACTAAAGCTCATGGTGCCCTGTTTCTGTCCTCTATACAGTCTGGTTTAAAATTTGCTACAGAACAAAAGAAAAAAAAGTAAGAAAATATTATCTTATTTATTTTTAATCTTTAAGATTATTTTAGTAAATCCTTTTCATGGAATCTTTCAAAGTTCAAGTTTAGTTTTCACTCAACACCTCAGCTTCCGTAGGTTGTCCCAGCAGCGGGCTCTCGATTACTCTGCTGAGCACCCCAGGCTGGTCTGTGAGGCCCCATTTCTAACAGCCTGTCGTAGAATCCACAGACAGTAGGCTCTGTCTTTCTCACTTGGAGGCCCAGGCAGTTTGTTCTGGGCAGTCAGGGCCTGGGGAGGAAGATGACCTCAACCACCCTCTCACTTTCAACTGTAAACTTTAGACACCTCATGACTTTCCATCCCTTCCATCCTTCACCCCTTTCTCAACTGTGAAACCTCCTTACACTGGAGGGGCTGAATCTTATGCTCAAGAAAATGTAAAATGCATCCCAAAAGAAAAACAAATTTAAAAAGAAACTAACAAGTTTAGGGTATATTCATATGAAGAATAGCATGATGCTTATGTTTGAAGGCTCTGGACTGTGAAGGTTTAAATCCCAGCTCTGCTGCCTGGATCTGTACAAACTTGGGCAAGATATCTAACCTCTTTGTGTTTTATTTCTTCATCTATAAAATGAGATAATAAAAGTACCTATCTGATTGAGTTTTTGTGCAGATTAAATGAGTTAATGCATTCAAAGTGTTTTAAGAGATAAATGCTTCGTGCCTGTTAGCTATTATTATTGCCTATTACACACCAAGTGCTTTGGGGCATGTTATTGCTAGTCTCTCCATCCTACTATTTAGTTCTTCTCCTCTCCAGGATTCCTTGCTCAGGTTCAACACACAAAAGGCTTAAGAGGAAACAAAGTCAGAGCCTTATTACTAGAAGGGCAAGCACAGCATCGTCAAAAGAGAGCAGGATTTCTCAGCCAAATTCAGTAGTAGGTGTGGCTCAGGCTCAGGCCTGAGTGAAGCCATTCATGTTCCAGAATGGCTGGTTGTCCATGGCAGTCTCTGAGCCCACTCATCCATCCCTCTGCCAAGACAGAGATGCCCAACCTACCTCTCCCATCTGGGACCAACTGGAAAATAGACCTGACCTGAGTCGCCTTGTAGAGAGAGGCCTGTTCTGCCTACATGGAGGCTACATGTGGAAAAGAGAGTCCATCCTGAATGGGCCACACTCTGATGAATAATGTCTGCCTTCTTTCCTCATATCCTCTTTTCTGTGGAGAGAGACAAACATGCTTACACCACACCAACAATTTTCCCATGGAAGCCTCGCCATAGCTCTGCCAACTAGGCATGCTTATCCTCACAGCCCACTTGAGGAAATGGAGATTCAACGAGATGAGAACCAGATTGTCCCCAGTCAACATCCATGCTGCCTCCACCATGACCCACAAGAGCAATATGTGCGGGCAAAAGTGAGAACACATTAGGTCCCTGCAGTAGGTGGCTAAGCCAGGTGCAGAAAACACATCCATCAAGAACCTGGAATCTTATTTCAGCTCCAAGTAGGAGCCTGTGAGGATGTCCATTAGGGCAGGTCCTTCAGATTCTCTTCGTACACGTGCACTTCTCTCTGACTTCCTACTCATGTGGTAAATAAAATTTGCTCACACACCTGCCAGCAAAATTTCTACAGGGTTTCTCAGATTTCACTGGGCCTTGGGTTTCCCATCTGTAAAATGGAAATAGTAGTATTGATTTTGCAGAGTGTTGAGAGGATTACAATTCATCTACTGAGTCTTGGGTGTATGTTAGATATTCACTTGAGAGATGATATTCTTATATATAAATGTGGTCTTCCCACTATTTCCTGATACTTCTGGTCTTTCCCTGACCTTCTTCCATTCTGGTGGTTAGACATAGTGGCATCAGGTGATTCAGGGGAAAGAGATATCAACAAAAGAAGAAAAATTTTTTTAATCTCCCTAAATTTAGATATAGGCTCCAGACACAGAATAAAGAATAGGTCAGAAATAGGCTTTTCCCTGTCTCTTGAAATTAAGTAAAGACGTTGGGGGATGGGAGAACGGAGAGGAGAGGAGTCCTTGAAAAGGGGCCCCCTGCCTGTCCTGAGTATCAGGTAAGGAGGGGAGGTTGGGACGGACAGTCCCCCAGAGAGTTAGGGTTTCCATGAGCAAGGGAGCCTGTACCTTCTTTCCCAGATAGGAGCTGAGAAAGTGGCAAGTCCCCAGACACTCAGTAGGGTGTTGGAGCAGAGGAAATATTTACCATGTAGCCAGGAGCATCCAAGAGCCAATGGATCTGAAGGGCCTTGTGAGCAACAAGGGGCACTTGTGGGGACTCGCAATAGGAGAGCAGATAAGAACAGGATGGCTCAGTTGATGGCACCAAGGAGAGGTAATGATCCAGAACAGATGCCTTCTCTTCTGTCTCTCAGAATTTCAAAACCATGTGATGCCTCATTTGAAAAACAAAGAGAAACCACTTAGTTGCCTCACCTGCGTAAAGGGAAGAGATACTAAGTTTTAAGCTGATATTAAGTTGCTACCACCAGAAAGGCAGCTTGGAAGAGATACCAAGTTCTGGTAGAGAAGAGAAAGGACATTGTATGAGTTGTGTGCATGTGGTAGATCAAGTTTTATACCCATTGCACTGCTATTGTGATTACTGTGAAATATAGTGCAAGAAGGCACGTAATTTATTTTTTTTTCCTTTTCTCTCAATTTTTATTTAAGTTCTAGTTAGTTAACACATAGTGTAACATTGTTTTCAGGAGTAGAATTTAATGATTTAACACTTAGATTTAACACCCAGTGCTCAGCATGACATGAAGAAGGCACATAATTTAGTGCAAATTTATATACTCGTAAGTTTCTGGATAAAACCGTAAGAAAGAAATAAGATCACAGCGTCTCCTTCCCCAGTACCTACCAAAATAACACAAATTAGAAAATAACTAAAAGCTAACAATTCACCAGGAACTACTTAATAAGAAAAAAGCTACAATCCTATACAACACACTTGGAAAGTAGCCACTAAGGAAAGGAATCGAAGATTCTGATCCACTGAAATGTGGTGATGTGCATAATCTTCAATTTCTCAAAGATGTCTTCCAGTTTGGAGAAGAACAGTGGGAAGATTGAGCATGTGCAAATAGGCTGCCATGGGAGGGGTCAGAAACAAATATTTGAGGTAAGAAGTCCCTATATAGCATTCACCCATCCATCCATTCAACAAATAATTCAGTGCCTACTCTGTGCCAAGCATCCTTCTTGGCATTGAATACAGCAGGGAACAAAGCAGACAAAAGTCCCTGCCCTACATTTTGATGGTGGTTGAAGGAGGAAGCAAATGATAAAAAAATAAAAGACAGTAAAACATATAGTGTTTCTGGTGATGATAAGCGCTATGAAAAAAGAATATTAGAGAGGGGGAAGAACGTGCCTTTTCACCTGCTGTATAAAATAAGGAAGACCTCATCGAAATCCTGACATGTAAGCCCAGACTTGGATCTAAGAACGAAGCTGTGTGACTATCTGGGAGAATGTTCTAGGCAAAAGAGCCACCCCTGGAACGTCTCGAGGAAGATATGTGCTTGGCAAATTGAAGCTCAGCTAGGAAGCCAGTGTGGCTCAAGTCAAGCGAGCTAAGGGATAGAGCAGTTCCAGGGGCCACCACACCAAGAGCCCAGGATGCACGGGAGCAGTGGGTGGGGGAGCTTTTGGAGTGACATGCTTTGACAAAGAATGTTAAAGGAGTGTTATGGCAGCTGCCATGAAAATGGGACACTGGTGAAGCACAGAGGATTTGTGCAGGGAGAGCAGGGGCCTCTAGGACCAGCTTTGGGCTAAGATGGTGGAATGCATGGGAAACACATCTAAATGACTAATGGTGGGCCTGGTACAGGATACTTGGTGGGACCCTAGAAGACAACCCGTGTTGGGCCAGCCAGCAGCCACAGCCCTATATCCCCCAGAGACCAGGGGAGTATTCAGAAAAGAAACATCCACTCCAATCACTTTAACTAAAATAACAAGACAAGACCACATGATTAAAGACTGTCTTTTCCACATTGGCTCAGAGCAAAGAGAAGGTCTGGGCCGAGCTCTCCATACAAAGCATAAGGAAAAGCTGGTGAAATGGCATTTTAACTATGCAAGCATTCTAGAACACAAAAGGGAAAAGAAACACAGTCTGAAAAAGAACAATAAAAAACTCAGTGTGGTGTCATTTATACAAGACTCAAAAACAAGACGATGAAGCAATATACCAGGATGAAAAGGGAGATTGCCGGGTTAAGGAAACAATTGGGGGGCCAAAGCAACATCCTTACAGATCAAATAAATAAATGCAAACAAGCAAAGAACAGACTAGGCGCAACTAAGAAAATCAAACAATGACAAAAAAAGAAGGCTTCAGAACATCACAGTGAATGCAAAGGAAGAAGACAAACTGAATAAATCAATGAGTGATGATGATAAGTAAGGACTTCAAAGATGACCCACTTAAAGGTCACTTACATTTCCTAAGAACAGTGCCCAAAAAATGGAAAAGTGCTTCACAGATGTAATTTCATGAGGGTTTTTTTTTTTTTCCTATTAGAAAAATACTAAATCTGCACATCATAAGAAACTAATACACTAGAAAAAAAACACAATTTACATGGAGACACTGAGCATGCCCTGATCAACATTAACTGAGTGAGATCATCCAGGCACAAAGAAGGCAGTGAAGGTGGGATCCAGCTGGCCTCAGATATCTCCACACCGTTATTTTTCCAGAAGAAACCAGAGTAATGCCAAAAGTCCCAAATAAAGGAAAGTGTAACTCAAGAATATTAAAACTGAAGACATTCTCAAACGTGAAAGAATTTGGGAATTATATGAGTCCTTTTGGGAAATACACTGGAAGATTAATTCAGTTACAAGATGAATTTATTGAACACACACACACACCACTAGGATGAAGTTATGGGTAAAAAGAAGTGGCAATGAGGATTAAATCCATTTACACAGAGATAAACAACAGCATAACAGTAACATTTTCTGTTGCTGAACAGAATGTGTTATCAATCATTTCAAGTTTAAAATTATAAAAGTAACAAAAGTCAGGAGGCAAAAGAAATGAGAGAAAGTATCAGAGTATGAATCACTTCATCTCTCATGGTAGGAGATTAATTAGTATGCCTGGAAAGTGTAAACATGTAACTTAAAAGGGGAAAAAATAACACCAACTTAATTGATGGCAGCAGGTTTTTACTTAGCCTTACTAGAGAGAGAATAGAGGAAATCCTGTTGCTGGCAGAGGAGAAAAAACATGATCTAAGTTTGAGCAATTCCTTCAGTTTCACTTTGGTTTATCATTCTTTGGTTACATTCAAGTGAAATTAGGTAAATGCTTTATTGGAATCAGCATGTCAAGTAGGATCTCTAGTTAGCTAGCTATTTATCTACCTAAATAGTCTCCCATCCTTCCAACCTATCTGTCTATGCACAGAGGTATCTGGAATGATGTGCACCAAAGGGTTAATGTTGGTTCTTTCTTGCTGGTAGAATTTCACAGTGATTTGTTCTTTCTACTTTGTGCTTTAAAGGGTATTTTAAAAAATAATTTTATTATGAGCATGGATTATTTAATAAGAAATGGAGTTATTATGTTTTAAAACTCTATGTTTACTTAAGGCTTATATTGTGGTAAATCACTATTTGATGGTGTCCTGAAATCAGAATTAGTACTCTATTGTAATTGATGTATTGTAAGCTTGCTGTGTGCCAAGTGCTCTGCAAAAGGCATTTATAAACAAGGCCATTTTCTTTTAAATGCATCACTTCATTCGCATGTTCCCGTTTTTCTTTTTTGAGAGAGAGAAAAGAGAGAGAGCATGAACAGGGCAAAGGGAGAGAGAGAGAGAGAGAGAATCTTATGCAGGCTCTATGCTCAGCACAGAGCCCGATGCAGGACTTGATCTCACAACCCTGAGATGGTGACCTGAACCAAAATCAAGACTCAGATGCTCAACCGACTGAACCACTCAGGTGCCCTGAGCATGTTCCCATTTTAAAGATGAGGAAATCAAAGCTCATCTATGTTGAGTGATGATATCACACACTTCCAAGCAACAGAGAGCTCCAATCCATGTTTCAGATTCCATGTTCATTCAATAGTTTGTACCCAGACCCCACTCTGTGCCACACACTATTTATTCTCCACTATGGTACAATTCTTAAACTTCCTCCTGATGACTAATTTTGATGAAGAATTTCCTCTTTAGATGGTTAAAGGAAAGTATATGGCAACATTTCACACTGATTCAGAGACTCTAATTCATATACCGTCCTAAAATAGTGCCTCTCTCTGGCTTTCCTTTCTTTTCTTTGAAGATGAAATAGTTACTGATTTTGCATGTACCCTGCAGATTTATTTTATTTAAAAAATAAAATATACTGAAATTGGAACCAGGGTGTTTATGATTCTTTCAGCTGCATATTTGTCCCTTGTGTATTTTCTGGATGTGGCTGTGTTGCACAATCTCTAAAAAAGTTTTTTAAAGAAGGCTGCTAGACACAAGCAGGACCTCGAAGTTTGTTTCACTCAATAAAGTAAATTTTGATCTGTGATAAGTTGTAAAACATAGACGCTTAACCATATTTATATTAATGTGTATAGGATTGTGCATTATATACCTATTGTTATATATCAAATCACCCCCACAGTTAGCACCATCAAACAACAAAAGTGTATTATTCCACAGATGCTGGGTCAGGAATCCAGGCACAACTTAGCTGAGCGTCTCTGGCTCACTTTCTCTCACAAAGCCAGAATCAGCATGTCGACTGGGAGAACCACCACCATGCTCAAATAGGGCAGGGCTGCCTCCACACTCATCCATGTGGCAGTTGACCCGTCTCAGATCTTTGCTGGCTGTGGATCAAAATCATGGATTACTTAATCACATGGACTTTCCAATAGGTCTGCTCACAACATGGCAGTCTGCCTCTCCCAGAATAAGGGATCTCAGAGAAAAGAAGAGAGATCCAAGGTGGAAACCACAGTCTTTTTTATAACCTAATTCCAGAGGTTACATTCAATTGCTTCTGTTTTATTATATTCATTAGAAGTAAGTCACTATGGATCCAACAGTACATTAAAAGGATTATTCACCATGACCAAGTGGGATTTATCCCTGGGCTGCAAGGTTGGTTCAACATCCGCAAATCAAT